ATACACCCTGCAGTTCTGGAGGATCCTCCAACGAGTGCTAATGAGTATGTGGCGATCTCCTTGGCTGCATTACCCGCATCACTGTACCAAGTCCAACGATGTAGGTCTGGTCGCTGGTACCAAAAGCCAGAAATCCTCAATGTCTGGGACCTAGCAAAGTCCCAGAAAAGGAGGCTATTCTCACTACCAGCATCAGTTCCTGAACCATTGGGACCAACAGACATCTCACAGCCAGCTCGATTATAGCCAGATACCGCATTGAAGTCACCCAGAACAATACGAATATCACGCCGGGGACACCTGTCTGACACAGATGCTAATTTGGCATAGAACATCTCTTTCACATCAAGTTTACAAACATCGGCAAGAGCGTACACAGCAATAAGAGACATGAAGCCAAATGCTAGCTTCAGTCTTATTACCATTATACGCTCATCAAAAGGAATAACCTCTACTACCGGGGGCTGGTGTCTGCTGGAGATGGCCATGGCTACTCCCTGGAGATGGTGACCTTCGCTGCGGCCCGACCAGTAGTAGATGTAGCCACCTACACTGATTGTGCCGCTGCCAGGTCTTCTCACCTCCGAGAGAGCAGCCACCTCCACTCTGTTTCCCCAGTTCCCTCGACAGCAGAGTCAACCGATGTTCCAACCCAACACCCTGACTTCCCACCTGAGGTTTAGCCTCGGGCAGTCACTCCGGGTGGACTCCACCTCTGCCACCCCCGCCGATGCTGCTCCATATAAAAGGCTATGGGACCCATCATCCACCTGCGGGGCTCTCTCAGGCTTTCCCCCGCAAGCTTCACTCGAGGCTGGCGACTGTCAGAACGCAAGTGGGACGAGTAGGTCCCGTTCCCATCCTGCGTCCCAGCAGTCGCCCTCCCAACGGGGCCCGCAGCCCGCCTATCTTGCTGTGTGGGAGGAGCATTTACCCTTCTCCCAGCATTTCCATTTATAGTGATCACTGCCGATGAGGTTAATCTAGGGGAAAGAGGATTGGCAAGGCCCACCTCCCCCAAGCCTCCCATTAACCCCAGGGGTCTAGGGGCAGGAGTTGGAACAGGGCCAGGGCGTGTCCACACACCGATGGGCCATGACCCTGTACCTCTAGAGCTATATATATATATACAGTATATATATATATATATATATATATATATATATATATATATATATATATATATAATGTATACACACACACACACACACACACACACACACACACACACACACATATATATATATATATATATATATATATATATATATATGTGTGTGTGTGTGTGTGTGTGTGTGTGTGTGTGTGTGTATGTGTGTGTATTTATGTATTTAAATATATATATATATAATATATATATATAATATATATATATATATATATATTATATATATATATATATATATATATATATATCTTTAGATACATTTATACACACACACACACACACACACACACACACATATATATATATATATATATATATATACATATCTATCTATCTATCTATCTATCTATCTATCTATCTATCTATCTATCTATCTATCTATCTATATATATATATATATATATATAAAACGTCTTTTTTCCAGTTTCTTAGAGCGAAAGGAGGTCTTTTCGATCCTTCTATACATGTCCAGGGTATTTTTGCCATATCGTCGTCGTACAGATTGCGTTGGGAATCAGATCCTGATCAGGAAAAGGAAAACCAATACTGCTGAGAAAAACATTATTGCAGACTTTTCGGAGATGCAATTTCCATCTCCCTCAGTGCTAAAACAGATACAAATATTTTTATTATAGAAAGTGTTTACAAAGAATAGAAAACATATAATGCAAAAACATTTGAAGAAACAAGGTACATAACAATAGTAAATACAAAAGAAGCAAACTAACCATTCGACAGTATTGACGGTTATTACATGGTGAACAGGGTGGTTGCAGTGGTTGTGCTATTGAGTTCTGGGTTCATGGTAATGATGTGGAGAGATTCAGCAATGATCAGGTCAAATCTGTTAGGGTAGGAGGTCAAGATTTTGAAATCAGTAGTGTTAAACGGGTGGTTGTGAAGGTGAGAGTGCTCTCTGATTGCTGAGTAAGATGGTTTGCTCAGTGGTAGGCCAGTCCTGATAGACTTGCCTTTATGTTCGAGAATGCGGTGTTGCAGCCAACGTGAGGTTGAACCCACGTACCTAGCCTGACAGCTAGGCCAAGTAAAAAGGTAGACCACATTTGAACATAATTCAGAGTTGCACTTTTTCCTTTGTTTTAAAAAATTGCCAATTGAATTGCTATTATAAAAAAAACAAACCGAAAACTAACTTGAGGATAGCACTGTTTGAAGATCTTGTTTAACGAATTTCTGATTTCAAAACTAAGACTGCCCATATATGGTAATTTGATGTATTTGACATTTGTTAACCGTGGTAAGTACAGGTTTGTGTGAAAGCTTCTGACTAAGAAAGTTATTAAGGACTCGATAAAATAGGTTGGATGGGTACCCATTCGAGATAAAATTATCCTTTAAATATATAGCTTCTGTGTGGAAATTGGCCCACGTGGAACAAATGTTGTAAGCTCGGTTAATTAGTGTTTTCAGGCTATTAAGCTTATAAATGCGAGGTATGTAACTTAGAAAATGAAGTCCGAGGCCAGTGAATGTTGGTTTCCTATAGGTGTTTACAGAAAAACAACCATTATGAAATGTAACGGTAGTGTCTAAGAATGATAGTTTATTGTTTTGTTCAGCTTCACAGGTAAATCTAATGTTGGGGTGTTGTGAATTAAGATAAGAAAGAAAAGGATTGATATGAGAGGGGTCACTGAAAAGCAGGAAAGTGTCGT